ATCAATGTGTACTTTCAACCCATTTCTAAAAGATCTCTCACATGCAGAGAGCAGAATTCTTGAGGCTGTCTTCTCTAGAATGAAATTTCTTCTTGTCTTCTTGATGCAAAGCCTTTATGTCCAGTTTATGCCCTCAGAAGGATATTTAATGATTTCATAGCTTTTGTGCTGTTTCCTAGACAGAGCAGTCATTTTTAGCTGTGTCTTAATTTCCTAAAGGAGAAAAATCATCTAAATAGTGCCCTTTTTAGAATGACTATAGAATTTCTATAGAATTGCTACCTAATTAATGATATGAAGCATTTTTTAGCATATTTCCCGTATCACATCCAAATGTATGTACTTTTAGTTCTATCTGAAACTATAACAGTCAATCAGATTTTTCCCATAATTTTAGTCAAAAATGTCCTAAATGATTTTTGGACAATATTTTACTGTCTTTGCTTTGAATGAAATGATCTGTGAAAACTGGCAATTACACTACCTTTCTTTGCCAGRTCATTGAAGTATCAGTAAAGGGTCATCATTTAAACTGCTACAAATTAATCACAAAATCCAACCTTTGACACAGTGATTGTGTCAAATTGTGTGTACAATCTATACAGTGATTGTAATGTGGGATGGCCCTCTTATGCCTCTTAATTTTTCTGTCTGCGAATCATAGCTGTATCGCATCACAGGACATTAAGCATATTTCAGCTGGTGGGATGGACCTAGCCATGTTTTTAGAAACTGAAAACAAATGTTGTAATAGAATAAATGATAATATTTGAACCAGTAACAGTTTTCTAAATGGTTTCAACCTGTAAACAGAACAGTATTTCTAAATGAAATGCTAGAATTACAGAAAAAAAAAAATAAAGATTGAGAGTAAACCCAAAAGAGACAAGCAGGACAACGCAGTGATAACAACTGTGCAGTTAATTCATAAACTGAAACAGATTGGCTGTATTATCATTTCTAATAAAAGCAGATAGGAATAGTCTTTGCAAGAAGAATGTGGATCTGAACATGCAAGGCAGTGAGACATGTTCTTGATGATTGACTCCAACAGACACTTGATTCATGGAGCTCTACTTAGAGCTGAGATTGTGAATTCAACATTAGCATGTTTGCAGGTCAGAGGGAACCACCTTCTTCTTCAAGTGCTTTGGTATCTCAAGGTGATATAAATTATTTGAATTCTAGTTGCTTCAACTTCCTTGTGATGTTTTCATACTGTGTTTTCAGTGATGTAAGAAAAAAAAAATGCCTTTGCTTGGCAGGAAATGTAACAAAGAATACATAAGACAGAGATGGTTTATCAGTTGTGTAGTTTCCATTATGTCTTGGTTAAAGGATGCTGGAATGATGAAAAACAAGTACAAACAGGATTCTGTATGCAACTTAGTCCTTCAGGATCATAGGTACTTGTGTTTCACCATTAGAATCTTTTAGGCGAAATACCGGTGAAACGTCGTCTGAGACTGGTGAATGATAGACAGCAAGGACAAAAAAAAATGGTTGTCAGGGAAACTTTCTAAGTCAGCTAGCAAAACTCTTCTGGTAATTTTTAAATTAAACCAATCAGACAGCCCAAGAATCTTCCATTCAGAAAATAGAGATTAATCCCTTAATCATTAAGTCACAGTAATATCACTTCTAGATAATTGTAATACAACTTGAATGTCAATTGCCTGTCATGTTTCTAGTTATATGAAACCTTTTCATTGTATATACAGTGGCAAAGACACAGAGTATGTTCATTTTTGCAGAACTTCTGCTGAAAYAAAAGTCATCCTTCCTTATGCTGTTGAGTTAAGCAACTGAATATAAAATATATCAGCATATCCAAGTCACAGTTTTTGACCACATATTTTGACACATTTTGACTGTTTGAGCACATATTTTGACCATTTCACAAAGAAAAATATGAAAGCCTGTATAAAAAGTTTCAGTGAGAGAATTATGTTTTGCATGACTTCTTATTAAATGAGGGTACTGACTGAGGGCACATTGTTTTTCTGTCGTGCATTAAGTATAGCCAAAATACAACTATCTCATCCATTATTTAAAAAAATAACAAACCTTTTGAACTTATTTTTTTTTCTTGAGCTTTCTTTTCAAGTTTCCTGAGCTTGATTTTCTCTGTGTCCTGCATTTATTTCAGCAAGTTGATGTTTCTGTGGCATATCTATAAGGATTTAAACTGCTTGGCTTCCCAATGGTCTCTGTACCACACTGAGCTGTCTCTGTGTGACAGAAGAAGAGAAGGCAAAACAATGGAATATTGTAGTTTCTTGCTGAGTTATTATTTATTGTTGGAGTTTAGAGATAAGTGGTAGATGGGATTTAGAGTGGAGGAAGGAAGTTAAAACATTTGTAGATTCTTTTGCATTTGTAGTGTGAAACTGAAGGGGCCAATCTGGTAGCTACACAGCAAAGTTGGTTTGTTCTGAACAGACCAAGGCAGTGAAATATTTTGCTGGATAAAACACTCCAAAGAGGGTTTTGCCAGGAGTCCAGTGGAGCCAAATGGGGGGGTGGATCATCCCCTTCCTCCTCGTGATAACAACATCAGTGTATGTGAGGCAGTGGTGAGATCTTCACAACTTCTTCTCATGCAACTCAAAAATAACATCTGTACTACAGCTCATCAAAGCTAATGCTTTCTAAGTTTGCTTATGCAAAAATATATGCAAATAATAATACAGGAGATGAGGAAGAGAAATGAAAAATGTCCATTTGTTCCATTGAAAGTGTTAACTTTTAACTGAGTTTGAATTTAACAGTAGGTATGGTCTGTAGGAACCATCAAAACTTCTATTTTTTCTTCTGAAAAATGGCATATCCAGTTATAAGCCTAGTGCTAGAACATCAGTTCATTAATATGTGATAGTAAAGAGAACCATATTCTACTCTGTAAGAACACTTCTACTGGCAAATCTTCTTATTTCTTACTTGGCCAGCACTTGCTTTGCTGATAAAAACTGCATGAATTTTAATAAGAACAAATAAGATGCAGGTGTATTGCTGAGTATTTATACTACTAGTCTTTCTTGCTGTTCTGATTTATGAAACTATTCCTTTTATAGAACAATGTTTAGCTGTGTATATCTTTAAAAATTGCACAGTGCTTTTCTTTGTCATTTCTGCAATCAAAAAAAAAATGAAAGAAATGCTCTCAGAAGTCTGAAACTGCAGAGTGATTCGTTAAAATGCAGATTCATAGACTTTCTGGGAATTGATGTAAGTAAAGCCTGTATGCTAAATTTGTGAAGAGGGCTTTAAAAGTTTATGGAAAGCAATCTAACAAGCTCATGTGCGCTGCTTGTTATTTTGCTTCGCAATCTGAAAGAAAAATACCAGGAATGACACAATTTTTGGAGGTTTTCCCCATGATTCTTGCTAACTGTAAGGTAAATCAGTTTCTGTGGAGTGCAGAGCATTTATTGTAGAAAGGGGATGAATTCACATTGAGCTAGGAAAGCTATCTTTTTATTTGTTCTTTATTTTCTCCCTCTCCAACCACCATTTGAGCAACATCATTAACCACTAAGTCCAGAATATGCTTGTAAATGCTGGGAACTAGCATTTGCTGTTACAGACATGAGATGATACAAGAAATAGATATAAAAATATATATAAAAATGTGCTCAAGTATTTTAAACTAGACTTCTTAGATTTCAGTCGTGTTTGTGGCTGCAAAAAGGCAATCATCCCTTTGAAAATTGACTTAACACAGAAAAGACCTAAACGTCTAGGAAATTTTGTTATATTTAGCCAAGAAAAAAAAACCTCTCCCAACCATCAGAACATTTTCTGTTCTTGTGAATTCTGTAGTCTTTTTTAATAGTCCTTCTATGAATCCTTCTATTACCTGTTCTTTTATACCAAACGCATCTGAATATTTCATGGACAAAGCCTTAATGGATGTGCTGCTCTCATAGTAACTGACCTATATCATTCTCTTCTGCTCCAAACCCCACCAAACACAGAAAAGCCACTTTCTACCTCAGAGATGTCCTTGAGAAATCCCCTACTTGCAGAGATGGGAAGGATAGGTTTCCTGGTCCTCAACAGGACTGACAGGCTATCACCTCAGCTCATGTCCAAAATGCTCCATTTTACTCCAAATGTCTAGCATGTGATATGATCTAGATTCAGGAGGGAGATCTAGAGTCAGGAGGCAGAAGCTGATCTAGAGTCAGGAGGGAGAAGCTACTTTAGCTCTGATTTAGGAATACCACTGACTCAGTATGCACATAAATTCACTGTTGTAATGTCAAGCTCTGTCTTCAAGTATACTTAGCCCTTTTATAATTTGCCTTTTGCAGCAATCTGAACATCCTGGTCTCAGTTCTAGTCCTTCTAGTTGTCCCTTGAATCCCTTTCTAGGGATTCAAGACACATTCATGGGGCTAGCTAAGGATTTTCCAGATTTAAAACTATAGACAAATGCAAATTATAAGATTATGGCCTGGCTGGACAAAGGCGAGTAGGATAGACCAAACTGCATCAATTGAAACCTCACAATTTGAGCTAGAGAAAAGCTTGCCTTCAAAGCAGAATTTGTGACACTCATTTGTATGAGTTGTATAATGTTGTCTGCTAATAATTTCATCTTAGTAAAAGAGGATAACAACAACAATATGTCTAACGAATTACAGATAATGGCACAAATAAAGCTGGAATTCTTAGTATATGCATTACCTCTGATAATTTTCATTTTTAAGAATATATCATCATGTGTTTTGTTTCTTTCCCATTCAAGCCTGAGCCAGSTAAATGCAAAGATCTCTCACAAAAGCATTCTACATCCTCAGTTTTTTCTAATAGGGGTTAAAGGAGACCACTTATTTCAAAGCACCGGCCTCTTTCATGGAAGCTGATATTAACATTCAGAATATGTACTTTTCATAACAGTGTTATGAAATTTTTGAATTTGAATGCCATAGAAAATAGGCACACTGCATGAAATGTTTTTTCATGTTTTTACTCTTGTGTTCTTTTCTTCTCAGCGCTGGGGTCGGCAGGACTGGCTGTTTCATTGTGATAGATGCCATGTTGGAGAGAATAAAGCATGAAAAGACTGTAGATATTTATGGCCACGTAACTCTAATGAGAGCGCAGAGGAATTACATGGTTCAAACGGAGGACCAATACATCTTTATCCATGATGCACTGTTGGAAGCAGTGACATGTGGAAATACCGAAGTGCCAGCCAGAAACCTGTATGCATATATTCAGAAGCTGACACAGATTGAAACRGGAGAGAATGTCACAGGGATGGAACTGGAATTTAAGGTACTGACATGTTGTCTTGTGGTGGGCCAAAAGCAAGGTGGATAACTCTTAACACTGCTATACTCTCTAGCACTTGTTTCCAGCAAGCAAAAGCTACGACACGTGCAGCATGAAGCTACAAACTAAGAGGACAGTATTTTGTAAAATATTTGTTTCTGCTTTGAATTAATCTCCAGACAAGGGCTGTTCAAAGTGGAATTTTTTAACCATCTTGTTCCTTTACATTTTGATAAGCTTGAAATTCATGTTTGTGTCAGCTTTGTTAGTTTGTGTTAGTATTTAAATTTGTTCATAGGCATTAAGTCACTAAGCTTTTATAAAGTACTAAAAGAAACTTTACTAAAGTAAAGCTTAGCTTTACTTTATAAAGTACTAAATAAAACATAAATAATGTGATGAAATATATTAAAAAAATTAAACAAACAAGCATTTGAAATTGAAATACTTTTTTAGTGAGTCATAAGCAATGCTCATCAAATCTGATAATGACATTTATTTTTGTCATACCTGATCCTAATTCTTCATATTTATTTATTTTCAACAGCGTCTAGCTAGTTCTAAAGCTCACACTTCAAGATTCATCAGTGCCAATCTTCCCTGTAATAAATTCAAAAATCGCCTTGTCAATATTATGCCATATGAGTCTACAAGAGTTTGCTTGCAGCCAATCCGCGGAGTAGAAGGCTCTGATTACATAAACGCCAGTTTTATTGATGGATACAGGTACTAATGATGATGTGTTCCCATATGGACTGCTTTAGAAGTTTACATAACTACTTATGTGATTGTAATAAAAATAGTGAATTATATTACTTACAATATGGACAATTTGTTTTTAGTTCTGCTTTTTAACATTAATAATGACTCTAGATTTTCACCTATACCACACAGAAAATTGTATAAGGTGTAAGAGTCATATAGTCTTAAAATAAAAATTGCACTAACTTTTGCATCCTTGAGAACTCTCAGTATGTTTTAATATGTTGAAGGTTACTGAGATTTTAAATACATTCATACATTCATTCAACCTCAGTCTTTTTACAACTATTCTGCTTAAAAAGATTCAAAGAAATAACATGCAGAAGGTGTACTGCCTGTGTCAAGGTGATAACCTGTGTTGCTTTTGCAGCGCTGATTAACAGCAGACCTAGCCTCCAAAAAGCATTTTATATGTATTTAAACCAGAACCTTCATTACAGCATGGAACAATATGCCCTTGGCTGTCTTAAGCAGTTGATAGGAGGAGGCATGAAGGACAAGCAGTGCACTTTCCCTAGGGCAGCTTCGGTGTGCTTGAATATGTGCATCTACAGAGGCATTTTCTGAGCCTCCTAACTGGAAATCATCATCATTTGAAATAGCACCTACAAAGATATTTCTAAGCAAGAAATACTGGTCTCTGAACACACTACTAGTCTACAGTAGTCTCCATCTTCTCATAAAACTCTCCCTCCAGAAGATTTTCACAGTCTCATGGCACCTACCACAACTAAGATTTTAAGACCTGGAAATGCAGCATAGTCCACTATGAACTTTCTTATTGCCTTACTTTTGCTTGGAGGCATTAGACTGTTGAATCACAGAATCATAGAATACTTAAGGTTGGAAGGGACCTCAGAGGTCATCTAGTCCAGAAGTACTTAATAAAGATACTGCTTGTTGCTATAATTCCTGAACTTAATAGATAGTACCACATTTTTTTTTCTGCAAAATGAAGCAGCATAACTGTTTTTAAGTGCTTTTTACAGCACACAAATTGAGCTATTAGTATTGCATTAAAATTTAAGTAATAATGATAAAGACATATATCATCATATTAACAGAGTAATTTCCATCACAAAGTTCTAAAAATAAAAACAACAGTATTTGAATAAATTATCACATTAAGGTACTAATGTGTTATTAATAACATATAACTTTTCCTCTAGATAATGTTTACTTATAAATAGGTAATAGAGGTATCAATTTACAGTTTTATTTAAAATATTTCTCTTTATTTAATTTTTCTTTCAATACAGACAGCAGAAGGCTTACATAGCTACACAGGGACCTTTGGCAGAAACAACTGAAGATTTCTGGAGAATGCTCTGGGAGCATAATTCTACCATTGTAGTCATGCTTACTAAGCTACGAGAAATGGGCAGAGTATGTATTGCTATAATATCTCCATAGTAAAATGTTTATTATAATTAATGTTTTCTTATTAAAGTGTTTCATCTATATGAGATGTCTAAAGGTCAGAAATTAGGTTCCTTCTGTTTCAAAACAGCAGTGCCACGGTAGATCACAAGATATTGATATYTGCAGTCTGTGAGTGATGAAGTGGAGGTGGTACTTTGTTCTTGGATACAGTGAGAAGGAGCAACTTGGTTTTCATGTTGGCATTAGAAAGAAAGCAGGGGAGCATTGCTGGCTATTAAATAATGAAGATTTCTCATTTGGAAACTTCTGTGCAGCTTCTGATGTTAACAACATTAGAGGAAAGTATTTTTAACAGAGCTAGATATTTTCTATGTGCTCATTGTGCTGAACTTAGCAGTTTCATCAGCCTATTTACAGTCCTAAAGTCATTGAAGTGCTGCTTTGTATAATGGAAAGAATGAAATAAGCTACTGTTCAGGCAGGATTACATCATGCATAAAACTGCTATATGATAAGTGAAATCTGAGCCCAAACGAATTRTGGAATAGAGTGGCTTGGAACATTGATAGAGGATGCAGAGGTAGATGCATTGATAGAGGTAAACAGACACATTTGACTGAGGCCAGAGAACATTTGCTTTAGCAGGGAAGATTGCTGGGAGGAAAAGTAAAGATGGTTGTAAAGTTTGCATCCTATTTTGTATTGAAATATAACCTAGGCATAGGTCTTTCCACTGATAAAAAAATCAAACTGAGCAGAAATGTAAGTTCAGAGGTACAGCAACCAGATAGAGCTCCTGTCTATTACCATATGGAAAATCTTTTTATTCTAGAAACAGTTTTTATGTTTTGCTTCAAACACTTCTATTTCCTTAAAACTAATAGTTCATATTTCTGTCAGTAATGGCACTTCCCATAAGTATTGCTCTTATCTGAGTGAAAATAATTACTCCAGGTTGTGGTGGCAATCTTGAGTAACACGTGTGTTTTGCTTTGTTATTCTGTAGGAGAAATGCCACCAGTATTGGCCTGCAGAGCGGTCAGCCAGATACCAGTATTTTGTCGTAGATCCAATGGCAGAGTACAACATGCCACAGTATATTCTAAGAGAATTCAAGGTTACAGATGCAAGGGTAAGTTAACACAACATTATCCCATTTTTTCACTCAAGTTTAAAAGAGAAAGACTGTTTCTGTCTCTCCTTGTCTCTCTCTCTCTTTTTCTTTTTCTCAATTAGAAAAGGCCTAGACATGTACTTGTTTTTCAAGCAGTAAACAAATATCAGAGAAAGAATATTAAATAAATAGCAGCTTTGTTTAAGAACAATWAACTCCATTCAGATATAATATCTGGACAGCACAGTTTTGTAGAGCTCTGAATAAGTATCCTGCATCTAATGCAGAAATGCATTAAATGATTTTAATGCCATCTTCCTTTTCTCCTTGTTTCCCCCTTGGTCCTTTTGGTGGGAAATTTTCGTTTCTTGAAGCTGTAAATGTCTTGTTTTGCACTACCTTCTAGGTCGACTTAGTATGAAGGTTAGTACAGTGAGGTTTTAAAACTGCAGGGCAACTAGCATTCTTAAGAAAAGCTTGACAAGCTTTGCACATCATAATTTGATTTTTGACATAGCTTATTCTCAGCACTCTTGCAAAGGAGAGTTATACAGCTGTGACCCTAGTTTCCGTATTTTCATTCTGCATTTCTTATCTGAATTCCTGAGCCCAAGACTACATTCTGATATAAGATTAAATGTACATAAACTTCAAATATATACTTGGCATTTCTCAGACTTGTGATTTCTAGCACTTTACTCTGCATGATGAGAATAATTACTGACATCCTCTAGTTCTATAAGCACTGTTTGTTCAAGCAAAATAGTGAATGTACTGTCCAGGATCAACTTGGCTAGCTGAGTTGCCAGTCACCATAGAAAATATAACATTTTGTCTTCATAGGCCAGACTGCTGATTGGATCTTAGCTTCATGTAAAATTTGGTACTACRGGTAGTGAGATGATCAGCATATTATAATTTTAAGTAGGTGAATTTGACTCACATACATGTTTTTTATAAGAACTGCAGGCATATTTTGGGTCTGATTTTCATTCTCTGAAAGTACTAAGGATCATGTGAATCTTCTCTAAATGATCTTCTCTAAATTGTTTGTAAATAAAGTTGCTGTCTTCCAGTGTCAGTTTTCAACCACTTGACGCAGTTCAGCGTGCTCAGATCACATAATAATGTCAAAAGAAGCCACAATTTTAGTTGAAGATGAGAGACAGCAAACAATACCTAGGGGGAAATATATTGGCCAAAAGTGAATTTAATGGTTTATGGTAAACCAGTACAATCTCTATCTTTTTGCTAATAGCTAGCAAATTAGTAAAAAGTCTAGAAGGATTCCATAGCTAATTTGCCAGGGATAGTTTTCCTGCTACTGCTATTAGTGCACCACTTTTGAAGTGAGCCATACATGCATATCAAYAACCCTGTTGCGGTATCTTATAAATGCTTATTATTATCCTTAAAATTTTAAAGATCTCTCTACCTTCGTGGCCCCAGGTTTTTTTTAACAATTCACTGGCAAGCTCTCAGGGCAGTCTTAAATTCTTCAGACATTCTGGGAAAACATAGCTCCACCAAATTTGCTGAGATCAGTAAGAACTACTTAAGAAAATGTATCTTCAAGTTGCCCTGTAGTTAGGCTTTTACGCCTGTCACACCCAGTAATTGAGACCATCTAACTAAATTATTATATTTAGCAGAGAATAAATGCAGCACTGGTTGTAACCAGCCTCTCTCCCCATTATCTCCAAGCCCTTCAGCAATGTCAGGATAGCATCAGAGCTTCAGAGCTGCCCGCTTATTCCCAAGAGCAAACGAGGGGCACACTGCTCTTGTAGGTGCGAGTAGCAAGTGCTTGGTATGGAGCTCCCAGCTATTCCCAAGACTGTCATTTCTTTTGGAAGGTGGAATTGACCTCTGTAGCCATTTCAATCTACTGCTCTGGCTGCTTTATACACACTTGCTCTGTAAACTACAAAGGTCGATATGTTGGAGCAGTCTCATATAAGGCTAGCCTATTAGTGATAGCTGTAAGCGAGTACTGTATATTCTACAGCCTGTATATTCTACACACAAGATGATTGAATGTCCCTCATAGGAGCAAGAAGAAATTCAAATGACTATCCAATCAATAGAGTTATTTATTAAAAGCCCCATGCTCCATACATATCAATATATATATAGGAATTTGAAGATTCATATTTTGTTAAGTTCTTACAGCTAATTTCTTACCCTATGTTAACTGTGACAATATTTGAAAATACAGATTTTAATAAGATATGTCATTATATTTGGATGTCTACTGGCGAGCATCTCATTAAAAGAAAGTAGCACTGTTTATAATGTTACGAGCATGGGGAATTGTGTAAGAAACTGTAGAGGAGCTACAGCTCTGCTTTAGTGGTAGTCTAACCTCAGTATAACTAACTTTACTAGTGTGCTTATTGAATAACAGAAGTTAGTGACATTTAAAAGGAAAATAGTACATTTTTCACATACTTCAGTTGGAACCACATAGTTGATTTACCTTTAGATTTGTTTCATAGAAAGAAGTTTGTTGGCACTTCAGTGACAGCCTAGACTTAAGTAAAGCATACTCTTTCCTTCTATTTTCTACTCGTTAAAAAGTTACTATTTTTCTAGTGTAAATCCTGTCAGGGTCAGAAAYTGTCAAAGAGCTTCCATAGAGTTAAATGACACATTGCAGTAGTGCAAATTGCAATGTACAAAAYCTCACACTTCAGGTTTTATTTCAGGGAAATGGGACATCAAAATGGAGCTCAGTGTATTGCTTAGCTTTGTTCATGGATTAATATTGTATTCTTCTAATTGTCTTGAAGGATCCATTCCAATATGTCTTCTAGAGGGGAATGAGATCACACAAGTAACTATGAGAAAATACCATGTCAAAAAAATGCCATTTTAGATAGGATATAGATGGGTCTTTGGATTGATACATAGCAGCAGTAAATTTGGGTAGATATTTACGAAGAGACACACTTTTTTTTTTCAAAGGATAGAAATATTCCACACAAATGATGTGCTCAAAGCCAAAGCAGGCATCTAGGAGAGTATAGGGCAAAAAAAAAGAGGGTGTGTTATTTTGTTGGGCTGCGGCTGCAACATGCCCATTCACTCCCAGCTGACACATGAAAGACAAAAACCCACAGGACCAGAGGAAACATAAAAGCAAATTACTGCTTTTATTTTTCTTTGTTTTTTAAATGATTTCTGTTTCAGTTCTAAGGTCTATAATAACTGAGAGCTTATGGTGGGAAAAAAAAAGAAAGAAAAGACTGTTCTTGCTTTCAGCATATCTGTTTCTCAGGGGATCTGCTATAGTCATTTTAATTCTTTGTGAGTTTCATTTAGTAAAAGAGCATTTGAAGACATGGCATGGTGGATACTTAAGAAGTGTAATATGTCCAGAAAAGGAATTCAGAGTAGCAGCTCAATTTATGTTCATACTTTTAAGTGTAACAGCTACACAGATTGACAGTGCTTAGAATCATCAAGGATGACATTTGAAAGCTTGAAACAAATTTACTTCTATTATGTTTTTATTATTTATTTTTATTATCTATTATTATTTTTTATCTATTTATTATTTTTGCTGTCCTGAGCATTTGCACATAAAATAGGCATGCAGCAGAACCTGGGGTTTGCAGTGGACTTCAGTTATTCCCATGGCTTATTATAAACATAACCATGTTGCAGAATTCTTCACTTTAAAAGTATCCGGTTAGCAATCCTAATCATACAGTTTCAGGCGACATGTCTGGAGAGAGAAGAGCCCTTCTAACTTGCTACCGGTTTGAATTCTGTCCAAGCTATTAGTAAATGAAATTATAATGAAGTAAAGTCATGATTTGAAACAAGTGACTGGTCTTCAACTTTGAAACAAGTGACTTGGTCATCCTCTTCCAGGAAAGTGCCTACTTGCTAGAAAGCACCATAACTATTAAGCTATAAAAGATGCGATCTAAAAAGAGCCCACTGATTAAATAAATTTTATCAGTAAATATATTCCTGCCATGCAGTCACTGAGTATGTTTAATGAAAGGAGGGGCAAGCTGGATGTCCATATTCTGGCTGTCATAAAGGAAAATTGCAGTTCAGAAGACTCAAAACAATACTTAAAAATGTATGTGTAACTTAATGAGATCTTAACTTCCGTACCCTCAGACTTTCTTTTTACAAGGTACCATGTCAGACAGTCTCCTATAAAAAGTAATCTGCACAGTGTCATAGTTAATAAAATTTCATTTCTGTGCCTGTGCTCCAAAAACATTGATCAGTGATATGATCAGAAGAATCTGTGTATGTGTAATCTTAGTTATTCCCCATTCCCACCCAATGTATATTTTTTTTTGTGACTGACCTTCTGTTTTGTTGCCTAGCTGGCTTCTAGCCATTGGGATATTGTTTTGGGATATATTATGTGTGTCTTTCATTAAAGGATGGCCAGTCCCGTACAGTGAGGCAGTTCCAGTTCACTGACTGGCCAGAGCAAGGAGTGCCAAAGTCTGGAGAAGGATTTATTGACTTCATAGGCCAAGTGCATAAAACAAAAGAGCAGTTTGGTCAGGATGGACCAATCTCTGTTCATTGTAGGTAAGTAAACAAAATCTCAAAATGATTCATGTGCAGTTTCTTTTTCTAACATTCACCTTAGAAATATGGGGAGGTAGAACTTCATAAGCGAACTATTGGAAATGCAATCAAATACAAGGATTGAAAGGGAACTTTTAGGAGGATTGCTTTATGAAATGGGAACTGTTTTATGATGCTTGTATTCATACAGAAAATTTTCCTCTGAAGCGTACRGAAGCATGTGATATCTTTCTTCACTGAAACATGTCTCTGCCACAGGGTAAAAACAACTTGATAAGTGCTACTTTCAGTATGCAGTAGGAAATACCTTATCACACGTTCATCTATCTGATTTTTTTCTCACTGCTAATTATCAGGAAATACTGTTATATCAGTGGGATTATTACCTGTAAACAAACCAGTTATTCATGAGTAGTGCCTTAGTGGCAGTCAAGACAAGACAAAGTAAAACGGTAGCTACATCAGGAAAGCGAATAGAATAGAAGTCAAAGTTTGGAAACTCTGCCCAGCAAAACATCCTTGGAGTCTGAATTGGTAAGTTAGACYCCCAGAATGAAATTCTCATTTACCGATGTGATGAGCTTCCCAAATTCCTTTACAACTGAGAGGCAGATGACAACAGCTTACAGGGTGCATTGGAATAATCCAGTGGTAAGCTTTTATAATATGTATTTTTTATTTACTTCCACTGCATATTCTAAAGTCTATAGCAGATGGCAAAAAATAATATCTTTATCTTTTATCTCTTATTTAATAAATTGCTTTCTATAAATTTCATTAGGATTTTAGATATTCATTCTTCAACATTAAATTATTTTTGATAGATTAAATGTTATTATTTATATAACATAAATAGAAAATATTAATATAGGTACCAAGTCCTCTCAACAGGCCCTGCAGTGACCTAATGCTAACATGAAGACAAAATCACAAGTTTACTATGACATACAAATGAAGAGATTGTTCTCCTTCCAGAGCCAGAAGAATAGCTGCACGTGTTCTCATGTTTTAACAGAGAACTTTATGATCCTTAATCAGGAAGACTGTAATATACTGGACATTTTCAATGCTAGTTTTCCTGTGTGCCTAAGGATTTTTATAGCCTGTGAAAGAGAATGACATTGCAAAGCCATGATCAAAAGCCAAAGTTCAGGGATGCATTTTGTGAAGGAGAGTTAAAGACAGCCGTGATAATAACAAACCTCATTTTTCTTGACATTRAAGACTTCTGAGAGCAGAGAAATAATAAGCAGTATTTGTCCTATGTGCAGACATGCATAAGAAGGCAAATATTATTCCAAGTGCTTTCTACCATGGAAGTACTACCTGCTTGTAACTCTGAAATGAAATACATCTTGCAGCTTTTCCAGTTAGGTGTGATCTTTCATGCTGAAGCCATGGAGAATTCTATAGATTTTGGTAAAAACAATGTCAGATCCAACATAATCCAACAAGATTTTATCTTTAAATGCTCTCTCATCATCCTAATAACATTTTGGAGATTAGTAATACTAATCATTATTAGCAATGTTATTCGACTCATAGAAATATTAAATTACTCTCTTAAATTGCTGTTTGCTTGTTTCAGAAAGCACAGGATCCCAGGTACCTCCACTAACCTAGGCCTTGGGTATTCTTATCCAGTTGGTACCATGAGGAGTTTTAAAGGATTTTTTTACTTAACCATAAAACTCCCAAGTGCCTGTTCCCTATAGTTTCCATCCCACCTAACACATTTCTCATGAGTTTGCTCTGTGTTCCACTAAAGTACCACCACCCATACTTTTCAAACATTATGTACATTCTGTTTCTCTGGCACTTTTACAAATAGATCAGCATGTTACTATTTAAAAGTTTCTAACCTCACCAGTCAATCAATTAAAAATTAACTAAAATAGTAAAGGATCGTTTATTTGGAAGCAAAATATTCACCAGAATGAAACTTACACACTTGCAATTCTCTTTCAGCTTCTAGCTGAAAAGTAGTGAGGAGCACCTTTTCCTGACATTCAGGACCTACTTTTAAGAACAAATTCCTCCTTCTTAAAAAAAAATCAGTACTTTCTCATGACTGAGGAAGTATTGTAAGTTCGTGTCTAATTGTTAAAACTTCAAGGAATCCTCACACTGAGACAGCAGCATCATGTGATGACAAGGACCCTTCATCATTTACTAAACAGAGGGTTCTTCAAAACCTGTGGTGCTCTCCTGTATAAAGTACTGTGGCAGAACTGGCTGGWCGAGGGGAGAGCCGTGGATGTTGTCTACCTTGACTTCAGCAAGGCTTTTGACACTGTCTCCCATAACATCCTTATACGGAAGCTCAGGGACAGTGGACTAGACGAGTGCACAGTGCGGTGGATCGAGGGCTGGCTGGATGGCAGAGCTCAGAGGGTGGTGATAAATGGGGCCGAGTCCAGTTGGAGGCCTGTGGCCAGTGGTGTCCCCCAGGGGTCAGTACTGGGCCCAGTGCTGTTCAACTTGTTTATCAATGACCTGGACGAGGGCAYGGAATGCACCCTKAGCAAGWTTGCAGATGACASCAAGCTGGGTGGAGTGGTTGACACTCTGGAGGGCTGTGCTGCCATCCAGAGGGACCTGGACAGGCTGGAGAGYKGGGCAGAGAGGAACCTCATGAGGTTCAAYAAGGAYAAGTRCAGGGTCCTGCMCCTGGGSAGGAATAACCCCAGGCATCAGTACAGATTAGGGGTCGACCTGCTGGAAAGCACCTCCAYGGAGAGGGACCTGGGAGTCCTGGTTGACACYAAGTTAACCATGAGTGAGCAGTGTGCCCTCGTGGCCAAGAAGGCCAATGGGATCCTGGCCTGCATCAGGAGGAGTGTTGCCAGCAGGTCAAGGGAGGTGATTCTGCCCCTCTACTCAGCTCTGGTGAGGCCGCACCTGGAGTACTGTGTTCAGTTCTGGGCACCCCAATATAGGAAGGACGTGGAGCTTCTCGAGAGGGTCCAGAGAAGGGCAACCAGGATGATTAAGGGAATGGAACATCTCTCGTATGAAGAGAGGCTGAGTGAGYTGGGCCTGTTTTCTCTGGAGAAGAGAHGGCTCAGAGGGGATCTGATWAATATGTATAAGTTCAGGAAAGGAGAATGCAGGGAGGAAGGGGACAAGCTGTTCTCACTGGTGGCCAGCGATAGGACGAGGGGTAATGGCCACAAGCTGAAGCATAAGAAGTTCCGTCTCCAGGTGAGGAGCAACTTCTTTACTGTGAGGGTGACAGAGCAGTGGAACAGGCTGCCCAGGGAGATTGTGGAGTCTCCTACTCTGGAGGTCTTCAAAACCCGCCTGGATGCCACCCTGTGCCACATGCTTGAGCAGGAAGGTTGGACTAGATGATCTGTAGAGGTCCCTTCCAACCTTGAATCTTCTGTGAATCTGTGAATCTGTGAACTCAGTCTGCGTCTTTACTTGCACTGAATGAATCAGCTGTACTGCKAGTACATTTGGAGACTTCCATTACTCTTTAGAAGCCCTGAGTATCTGCTAATACAAAGTGAATTAATATTTAAATATGCTTGTCACTTTCAACTGAAACAAGGTCCATGAGTATTCTACATGCTTTACCAAATATTACACTTAATGGCTAATTAGGATGTAAAAGCATTGAGTTTTTTTTTTCATATTAGTGTGTATTCCTCATTAAGTAATTCTCTGGATACCTTTTCATGTAAGGGAGCAAATTAATTCCCTCCTGTTGTTGATTTAAAGAATTGTTAATAGTTTTCTTAATAAGGATATGATTAATACCTAATCTAGAAGTCATCACACAGATGTTTAGAAAGCCATACCTTTTTTTCTTCAAAAATTCATCAGGAGCAAGGTCTGAAATGGTAGTTGGCCCATTAAAGTGTGCTTAACACTTTCTAGGATACTGTATTTATCTCACATTATCATTGACTCTTAAAGTCAGGTTTCAGCATTCTATTTTCCAGGACTTTGCTTCTTAGACATCACTTTTCTAATTTATCCTTCCAGGGAAATGAGATCATATAATACTATTGCTGTAGATCTGCAGGACTATTTTCATCACACAAAGGAATATGAGCACTAAGAGCATGACATTTTATCTAGTTGTGTGTCAAGTGTTCTTTAGTTTCAGCCCTCTGAAGAAACACAGCTTCTGCGAAGTTTCTAAATACAATTGCAAATATTTAGCTCCCTAGAAGTGTACTGATAGTAAATGTACTAAACAATAAAACACCATCACACAACCTGGACGTTGGTTTCCTCACTGGTCTCAGCATTCMGTGTCCCTCTGTCAAGGTCCATGTGGATGTTCAGAGATTTTCAGCCACTCCCTGTGGTCTGTCTTTTTCACACTGAATAGCTCTATAAGTCTCTATCTTCCCAAGCTCATTCTACTGAATAAAACACTGTGAAGTAGTCAGAATCCAGTATGAGAAGGTAGATCTTAATTACTACCACTCAAGCTCAGAAGTCTTTTTTTTTTTTTTTTTTTTTTTTTTTGCATACATGCAGTATATGGATATTAGTATCTGTAATCTATACTCCACACTGTAAATTCAATAAAAACTGTATCTTAGGTTTCCCATTTATCTTCTACTTGAATTACAGCATGTAAGAACAATTTTAATGTTAACTGAAAGTCCACTGATTGTCTTCAATAGAGCCTCAGAATAGACACTCAACTGACAAATTAAATGAGGGGAGACATATCATCAAATCATCAAAAAATGTTAATGGAGGGGATACACATGAACAAGTCAAGAGGAAGACAGCAGTARCATGCATTTTGGTTCCTTTTGTCATTTTCAATATAGATCACCAGCAGGAAACACTCATAATCCTTGACCATGCAAAGATTATTGTATATTTGGATCAAAAAAACAAGTCACTTTGCAGTGGACTGGGGAAGTCAGGAAGTGCATGAGTAGTATGTTGAGTTTGCTTGAGAGGAGTTATTCTAACTGAAATGTGACAGTTTGCTGTGGAATTTTGCTCAGTGAACCTTTCCCTGTTTTGAAACCTATTTTGAACCTGTTTTGAAACCTGTTTTGAAACACACTTACAGTGTGTTGTATCAACAGATGAGTTGTCAGCCAATTTTTATCATCATTAATTGCCAATTAACATTCCTTCTCTCTTTTTCTTTTTTCTTGTTTTTTTTTTTTTTTTTTTTTTTTTACTTCAATAGTGCGGGTGTTGGACGAACTGGAGTATTCATAACTCTGAGCATTGTGTTGGAAAGAATGAGATATGAAGGTGTTGTCGATATCTTCCAGACTGTCAAAATGTTAAGGACACAACGGCCAGCCATGGTACAGACAGAGGTGAGAACAGTGTCCGTATACAATAGTGATGGAAAAAGAGGTGGAGTGGAGGGAGCATTTTCCACAGTCAAGAATGCACAGATGGAGACTGTGTAAAACGTGCATACATTTATATGTTTAGTGACTGGCTACAGATTAAAATTTGCCATCAATGCAGTGCAAGAATTATTACCTGTTATGATGGCAGTAGATGCTCTTGGCTTTGGAAGAAAACAATCACTTCACTAGTGAAATCTGCATGGTTGAGGAGAACTATTTCTGAAGAATGATACCTATTTTTGTTTGAGACTTTCCTTCCTGGCATGTGTAGTGTTAAGAARGAGGTCAAATGTTTGTGAGGGTGAACCCACTACATTCTTTATTTTCCATTATTCATGGCTTCAAACTCTATTGTTCATGACTTTGAAATCCGGTGGTACTGTTTTTGTGATTATCTTGACTTTGTGTCACCACACAAGTGGCTGAAAGTGGTTTGGGCTGAAAATTGTAATGGTAAATTCATACATACAGAGTAAATGACTGCCTTTCTAGCAAGAATGCTATAGAGAAATGAAGAGAGAGATAAATAGTATCAACTGATCTCCTGGGCCTGATTCCTTGGAGATGTGTCATGTCATAAAGAACATTAGGTGTTTTTGGTATGTGCTTGATTTCTGCCAAAATTTCTGGACAAATGACTTGAACTCAAGCTGAGTCAGTAGATGAGGGAATCAAATCAAAGGGCAAGAGAAGGGGAAAAAAAWTAGGTCATACATTTACTTGGTATAATTTGATTGGCCTTTGTATTATACTCTGTGAAATTTAAGATGGTTCCCCAGAGCTTACTACTTTCTACAAGGAAATTGCACTTATTCAGAAAAGGCTAGATAGTCTTATTTTTAAGAAAACGACTTATAAATAATATGAGAAGTAGAGATAAGCTTGTCACTTATATAGTGTGACAACTCACAGTGAATAAATAGATGAATTAAATGGATTTCTTTTCCATTACCGTCGTTATTCTAGAAGTTTACATTATGCAAAACATTAAATATCTATTTTCCATGCCTTTTTTTCCAAGAAATAAATACCACATATGGAATAACTAGGCTTCTTGGAGCCTACTTGACAAATAGAGAAAAGGGCTATGTGATATATACTCCCTCCACCTAATTCAACTTCTTTCTGTGTGCTACCCTTCATCCCTAACTGAAAGTAGAAATGTTGACAATTCATTTCTCTGAAGACTCAGAAAAGAAATCCAATGTTCAATAATATAAGACGGTGCTTAGAAATCTAATCTTTATTCAGCAAAGCTCTTGAAGTAAGTATGGACCATCCATATGTTTAAAATCTAGGCATATGTTTTAAAGTATTCTCCCACTATTTCAGCACCTAGGAGAAGGGAGTTATTAATGATTGATTAGTGTCATTAAAATGATGCAAATATCTAATCAGTCTCTTGATCTTCTGAAATAAATTAATTTTAATCTGAATAAATATAACTATGTGGGGTTACCAGGTATCACTGTAATATAAATAACTAAACTGTTTTGATGTTTTGGATGGATAAATAATTTCAGAAATAATTTCTTCAGAAATAATTTCTGATTTTGTTTGTTTGTTTTATCGTCAGTACCCTGAGTAGCAGTCACAAATGAGCACACTGATTTGGCATTTTAATGTAAGCCTGTAGTGTTTCCTAAATGTTTAATAGGACTGCTCTTTGTGTGTGGAAATAACATGGAGTGCCAAATACTGGATTCTCTAAAAATATATGCAAACCTCTCATCACTGTGAGCTTGCTTTCTCTGTTTTCAGGTTGAAGTGCAATCTGTTTCATGTTAATAAGGTACTTAGCTACATGTGTCTCTCTTAGGCCCTGTTCCTGCCACGGGCTAACATATCTTCATGTCATYAACAAAGCTTATGTTGCTGAAGGTTGAGGTCCCCTTGCTTCCTAACCTGATTTTTAATCTGGTGGCTTTCCATACAGTATTCTGTATCAGGGCTGTGATGGATATTGTTACTTAGTGCAGTGTATCATATTTGCTGTAGAGTTAATTGAGCATCTTGCCAGTTACTTTCAAATACATGGGGGGAAAAGAATCTTAACATGCTGCCATAACAAAAAAAGCTTTTTGCTAATGTTATATTAATTCAGAACAACAAATGCTTGGGAAATGGTTGTATAGTCTCTTCAGAAAAAGAAGGTGCATTCTGTGGAGAATGTTATTGCATTAAATCTCAGTCTATCTTCATTTATTGTAACTCAAAGTGCTCTTCTGTTGATGTCAGCAAGTGAATACTGCGGAACCACAGATGCCTCTCTGGTATATTTGTCTGCAGCCAAGAAAAATTCAATCTTACTTTGAATAAAAGAGAAAGCTGCTATTGAAGCTTTTCTTTTTTCTCTTTTCTTTCTCCAGGATCAATACCAGTTCTGCTATCGAGCCGCACTAGAATATCTGGGCAGCTTTGATCACTATGCAACGTAAAAACCCACCGTGGATTTTTATTGCAGGCCCTTTAAGATCCAGAGAGCCGCTTCTGAGCCATACGGTGTGCTTTAGAAAATACTTCTTAACTCTTAGCTAAGGAGCAATTATTGGGGATATATAAAACAAACAAAAATATTGGGGATATATAAAACAGAAACAAAAACTACTCCATGTGGACCAAGAATTCACAGTTTAATAACCTAACCATAATAAAACAATCCTGACCGGTGAGGCGTCTGAAGGATCTCATTTACAGATACCTCAAGGGTCCGACATTGGTTGAAGTTAAAGGGAAGAGGAAATTGTTGGAAGGAAGCATCATCTTGTTCGGGATTGCATGATTGTTGCAAAGAGGAGTTTTGAGAGAACTGCAGTTCAGTGCAAGATGTTTATTAAAAGGCTGGTGCCTGGTTCCTAAAACAAAGGGGACTCTTTGCTTCAACATCACCCCTTTACACCATACTGCTCATAATAACACTTTAGGGAAAATGTGGGAATGTTTAAAAAGAAAGTCCTTGATTTAGTTTTTTAGTATTGTAAAGATACTGCTGACCTGTGCTTCATTTTTAACTGTGTAAAACTTTTTCCTTTTTTTAACAAGAGTTTATCATTCAATGAAGTGAATTAAAAACAAGATTGCATAACTGTCCATTTTTTTGTTTAAAAATTGTAGTTTTTTTAAGCTGTAGAACTGTTATCTGTAATATCGTGCTGTAGACATGTTAAAAAATTTGAAAATTTGCACATTTTTGTGCAGTCCTATATTTATCTACAGTACCGGAGTCTTGTTAGATATTACTTTTACAGTTTTGTTTATTTTATTTTTCTTTAAGAAAATATTCATTGTAATCAGTTTAAATCAAAATGGGGCTTTTGGTTTCATTTGGAATCAACAGGGAGGCGCAAAGTATAAAGATGCTGCTAACACACACACACAGACACACAGACACACACGTGCACGCACACACATGCATACACGCACATGTACACCCCTCTCTCCTTCTATATGTATAGATATATGTATGTATTACGGTCTACTCAAATCTATCTCTCTGTATAGCTACAGAGATATGGCTAGATAGATATCCACACACACAGAAATATATCAGTTCTTCCATGACCTGGATTTATCAAAGTGATGGGAAAGCTTTTTGGCAAACTATGATTGAGGTCTACTAGTATTTGATCTTCTCTGCATTTCCAAGGTCCATAAACTTTTGTTTTGAAGGTAAATGAGGAATGCACATCACTGATATTAGAACATCATCCCTATCTGAAATAATATTTGTAGCCACGTTGGCACTTGAACACACACAGACACACACAGACACACACACAAAATACACACGCGTGTGCACATACACAGACACACACAGACACACACAAACACACACACAAAACTACACACACAGTATGTGGTTTAGGCTTCCAGTGAAGTTCAATATTTGTAACACTTTAGTGCAATAAGAAATCATATTATTAAATGTAGGAGGTGTGCATGTGGGAAAGGTCAGTGCATATCCCTTTAGGGGGGAGAATGTTATAATATACTAGCTATTAAGATGTTTTAAAATTGTATTCAATAGTATACTGTCTATAGTGTGCGCTATGAAATTTACATTTATCGTATGTAACAGGGCAAAGCCAAACACACACTGCTCTGTGAAACCAATCATTTTGTGGCATACAGCATTGCTTGCAGATGCTGTTTTTTATTTTAATTTTGCATTTAGAGTGCCTTATATTTGATGCCTATTTTGAATAGCATTTCTTTAAGTTAGCCTTCATTTATATTTAGTTCAGTTCATATCTCTGTTATAMTTTTCAGTGAAAACATTCTAACCCATATAATCAGACTATTTTGAATAATATACATTCCCAGTCTCTAATCAAGTACGGATGGTTATAAGTGATAACCCAAAACACATAAGTAGTCAAGGCCCTTTATCTTTACATATTTTCAATAATAGACCAGCCCACAACCTAAAGATCCATTTCCAGTTGGCTTTTTAAAACCACTGTGTCACTGGTTTTAGTAGTATCATTGCAGAGATGTAGCAGTACACTAGTAATAGCTGACATGAGTAGTGTTTATGCATCTTTTTTTTATTATTTTTTTCTTTTCCTTTTTTTTTTTTTTTTTTTTTTTTTATTTTTTATTTTGGGCTAGCCCAGCTCTTTCACTTGTGTCAACTGATTGCTGAAGTCAAATTGCTGCTTTTGGTGGGATGGTTCATGTGAGGTTAGCACAACTGAGCCCACAGGGCATTTTTTTAGAATGACACTAGATTTTCTTCTGGGGATAAACAAAAATCTGTTTAACAGCACAAAGTATGTTGTGGGACTCTTAATAGCATGCCATTTACATTGACCCCATTTTCTGTCATGCCTTGTACCACTTAGTACATGAGTTTCAAAGGAATTCTTTCTTTGGGGTTTCAGAGAAGAGCATCTGTATGGCTTGGAAATGTCACCTTAGCTTTTTCTTCTTCCACGTTGCCCACTACTAGCAGAAARAAATATATGAAAGACCAAACTCAAGCAAGCATTGTATTTGAGCACTTTTGTAAAGAAAATAACACAAAACAGAACAAAAATATAAATATATATATAAAATAGAAGTATTATAGAAGGCTACCTCAGAATGAGATTCTATAACTTACATCTGAACCTGAGAAGAATGTGCACTATGTTTCTTTTTCTTCTTTCTTGATTTGTACTTTCTAAAGAATTACTGAAGTGCCAGGTTATGTGGTGTGGTCATGTCCTTTCAGTCAAATATTGGGGATCAAAAAAAACCCACGACATATAGTCATACAAAGGATATTTTGGAAACAGACTAGGGAAGGTTCTTGCACACCAGGTCTGTAAACAGATGAGAGTTTTCTCCCTAGTAGAATATCTTGTAAGGTCTAAGGAAAAAGGAGGGTGTTAAAAAAAATTAGAGCCAATATTTAAGGGAAATTGCTCTACAACTAAATATTCCTCTATTTYTTATGTTTATGAGTTGTTTCTGAAGTGAACTGTTAGCATCATTGATGTGCATTCCACTTTATGTATTCTTATATATAGTCATACTACAGTTAATTTAAATTGTAAGCATGTCTACATATAGCTTACATTTCCAAGCTTAGAATTGGTTTCATCAGCATAACCAGTACGGTGCTATTATTTACGTTTGTATGTGTAGTTATGTCTAATTTTGTAATTAGTTGCAATGGGGAAAAACTCAAAATATATAAAAATGATCTGTATAGAAGTTTATTTTAGCTTTTTTTTTTTTTAATGTTTTGAGTAGCTAGATGTTGGAGAGGACGGCTGGGGAAGGGAGGGGCCCTCTAGGGAGATTTGCACTTTCTATACCTTTGTACTATGCACTGCCCTATTGATTCTACACCCAATAATGTTATTACTTGAACCCATCTGTAAGAAACTGCTTATAAAATCCACATGTGTGTACATAACTGACACAGAACGTTTAAAAAGGGAAAAAAAGTTTGCAGTGACAAACAAAAAATGCAGCTCCTTTTTTTCCTTTTATTCTCTCCAATTTTCTTTTTTTTTTTTCCTTTCTTTCTTTCTTTTTTTTTTTTTTTTTTTTTTTTTTTTTGTTTTTGTTTTGTTTTGGTTTTATTTTTTTGGTGCCCTGATACTCCAACAGATATCAGAAGGCTGCAGGTCCCATCATAACCATCTGTTATGTGGCTTTGCCATTCAAGCTTGGAGTGTCTTTACAAAGATAATAAAAAATTGTGTTCTTTGCTCTTGTTTTGGATGCATAGACTGAAAATAAAAAATTACCTTGTAAAATGGCTTGTTAAAAAATACAATTACCTCTAATTAGTAGTACGCGTAAATGTTTTACAGAATGAAAGGCGTGCTTTTTATTTTCTTACTTCGTTACATTGGTGGCGAAAGAAAGTCTGTATGAAAATCAGTTCTTTGCTGACACAAGTTCCATTTGTTACAAATGAATTCTAATAAAATGTCAGTGTTATGCAGCCCTGGTCTTCTTTCTTAAGCAATTCTTCTGGAATTAAAACTTGTTTGGTCCCTCGTGGTGATAAAGGAGTTTAATTGAAACTACAAAGTAGTCATTAATCTTCTTAACTAGTGGTTGGACAATGGAAAATGCATTTATAGATTAGAAAATACATTGTCTTCCTCAGCAAATCTTGAGCCAGCACAAACAAAGTTCTTGTTTGACATGAATTCCCATAACTTCATGAATTTCAACAAAATTTTGACACTTTACATGCGTCAGGTCTTTGTGCTTTAGAAATGCATCAGTTCGTTGAGAAGATATAGTTCTGTCCTCTCTTAGGTTGCTTCCCAAAGATATAAAATACTCACAGGCATTTGGGAACAACTCTGAATTCTTTCTTCTGAATGTGGCTGGCATGGGGCAGTTTCTGGAGTGAATCAAAGGGGGCAAAGTTGTTGGCTGGCACGTTGCAAGGGCCAGTGTTTTTGGTCCTGTCCTGGCTGTTCTGCTTTTGCCAGTGTCCATGAGACTGCCATCCAAACACTGGACAAAGAATCATTGTCACTCTTCTTTGAAAGACTTAGCAAACATATTGACATATATTGGGGCAAACTACAAGCAGCATGGCATGAAAATCTGGACAAGGAAAAGGGGAGCAATCTCACAGTGTGTGCTGGTTTTGAAAGCGGGCAGGCTCCATCCCTGAGATTTTTTGATGGCTAAGGAAACACTACTGCTGAGTAGGTGTTGATAAAGAATTCACTGCACTGGAAAGCTTTGTAGAGACGTTCACACCAGGCTGATTTATAAGAACTTGCAATATTCTTAGCCTAATTTTCACATTAAGAGATAATAATGTAAAAGAAAAGTCTTAATATTCTCATGATTTTTTTTTTAGTTTCCTATTGACTCCAATGCATTTTTATGATTACCTCTGTTCAGTCTGGCTGCCTTTCTCTTGGACATTTTTTTGCCCAGGCTTTTTGAGCTGATTTAAAACTGTGTTATATAAGGATTCCTTTGACCATCTTTTAACAATGACTTTTAATGGTTCCCTTCATGGATTTTTCTGTTCTCTGCATCTTACATAAACACTCAGACTTCCTTGGACCTTTGATACTTTCTCATTCTAATATTATTTTAAAGAGG